ATAACCAATTATTTTTCATTAAGTCAATGATTAAATTGGAACATCTCATTTTACTGGACTATGGGCTGAAATTTAACCAGCTTCCATCAGCTTTCACTTGTAAGCTAAATACAAATCGAATAAAGCAAAAATATACATGCATCTGTTTGGGATTTATTTACTTATTTTAAATGGGCGACATCACAAGCAGCACAGCATCCTATCACAGTTTATCCTGGGAAGATATGAGAGAAAACAACATGTCAGGAACTTTGAAACTTTGAGTTGCTATAGAGTTATTTAAAATAATGCACACAAACTCTTACATACTCTGTCTATAAAACCAATAACAATAATATTAATAATAAAATATTTTTTTAAATGGCTTCCTTTCTTCTTGGACAGATCAGCCATTTATTTATTCATTTATTTAATTTTAAATAATTACTTAATGAGAACATAAAATCATTTTCAGTTATTAAAGAAATTACCAGAAAAAAATGCAGAAAATGTTGGCTTCATCATCATCATCATCATCATCATTATTATTATTATTATTATTATTATTATTATTATTATTATTATTATTAATATTATTATTATTGCATTTTATGGAATATCTTTGATATTTTTTAATGTAACATTTATTCTGAGTATTGATTACTGGGGCAGGACTGTGCCTTCCAGTTGTATTTTCTGTGGGGATCAGGTATGTTCGTTAAAATAATGCATGAAAATAAAATTAGATAAAATAATAATATTAATAATAATGCATTTGGGCTTCTCTTGAATGAGTGGGTTTTTATTCTTAAACAGTCCTTATCACAGTGAATTGTTAGGCCATCCACGCGTGTCTTTCTGCTGTCAGTCAGAAAGGTTTCCAGATTTGAAATGTATTCCGTGCAGTTTATTTCACGTTGCTCTGAACAGCAAAACCACAAGCACGGTGCTTGAAATGCGCAATTTTCGTTCCAAGATTCTGCGGCTTTTTCCTCCTAAAGTTTATCTATTAACATGACAAACAGGCAAAGCTGCACAACCTGCCCTGAGTGTATCAGCTGAATAAATAAAGCAAGTCTCTGCACGGGTTATTTGACATTAAACCTTCATGCTGATGTTGCGTTTGGCTGTGTGCGCGCTGCTGATTTGTTTTGATTGATAGTTTTTGGTCCATTGGCAATTTGTTTTGTCTTAAAGACGATCTGCTTCTTCCACAGATGGATTGATCATGTCATTTTAAGATGATTAAAAATATTACCTGTTTAGGCAAAATCTCTCTATATATATCTGTATATGTATGTGTATTTGTGTATATATTTCGCCCCTGATCTCTGATCTTGAATTTTCACATGAGCACCTCAAACAACACCTCTCGTGGAAACAGGAGGACAGAGGCGGACAGATGCTGAATTGAATTGAATTTATGTGAACCACTTAAACGTTTAATCTCATGTTTGGGACCTACTGAATGAAATTACCCCCCCTCCCCTCTAAAAAAAAAAAGAAATCAGGAAGGAGGCTCTCAGTCTGCTCTGAGGAGAGGTGCAGCACCAATTTGTCCGTCTTTACTCTCGATCGTCTGAGAGATCGTGGATGATTGGCTGATAAACTTGTGCTGCTGTCTGTTTTTTCTCTTCTTCTTTTTTTAAATTTCCCAGCAGTGGAGCAGACAAAGGCGGGAGCGCAGCGGACAAAAGATGCGTTGTGGCTGCCGTCGAAATATGAACCACCATTTTGATAGTCATAGCCTGTAGACCGACATTTCCTGTCGGTACTAGAATGGCTGTACAGCCTTACACGGCTTCTGCAGAGGCAGAGAGCGGACTGGTGCGTGCTGACAGGAGGCAGCCGCACATACAGACACGTTGCTGCTTCTGCGGCTCTCCATATTTGGCTGCGAGTCGGTGAAAAGTGGGTCTGCAGGAGCCGCAATGGCGACAGCCGTACATGAATAAACAGAGCCGGCTCTGTGAGAACATTATTGGCTCTCTGGTTTCTGGGCAACTGCTGCGCACAGCTCGCTGCTCGCTGTCCTACTTACCGGGCGACATTTTCTGCTCAAGGTGGCTGCTCAGATGTTTTAAAAAAACAACAACAAAAAAAACCCACAAGCGAGAAGATGTGAAGCCGTGTGGCTTTGACCTGCAGTCTGAATCAGACTTGAGCGCATGATTTGAATTAGAAAGCATTATCTACAACAGCCCGACAAACGCAACCGCAGCTCCATGTCTAATTTCTCACCAGAACCTCTTTCAGGTTTTTTTAAGGTGGTGGTGGTGGGGGGGTATTTGTGTTTTAATTGCTCTTTTGAAAGGAATGAGCCCCTTTTTTTTTTTTTTTTTTTAAAAAAAGATGCTTAAGGAAAAATTTAAAAAGGGAGAAAATGAAGAGCCTTCGCTTCTATTTTGAATCCCTTCACATTTCTGTCGTTTCTGGGGTGTCGCAGGCCTCCAGCGGTCCACGCGCAGGGATTTAAATTAGAGAAGTGATCCCTGCTGCTCGCGCACTCCTGCGAGGCTGCGCTGCTGAGATG